TGAAGCAGAACATAAACCGTCACCCTAGCCAACCTACACCCCAAACCCTCCCCAAGCTTTGTCGATTCGCAGCCTTATAACTTTTAACTTTAGACCCCAAACCCCAAACTCAAAAGCTTGAGCAACCCTTAACCAACCCCAAAACCCCAACCACACCACAGGGGGAAGAGGGACCCCACACCCCGCCCACACAGGGGGGGCATCCTGGACCATGGACCATTGGGGGGGAGGGGGGGGCCGCGGAGCGCCTGACCATATAAGAGAGCCGCATGAAGAACAAATATTTTTGCTGTTGTCGCTTTATTTATCAGCAACCTGCGAAGGCTGCAACAGTACTGTTTTATAGTAGAGTCTCGGGCCTGACAGGTTCTGCTCCCTGGCGTCCTCCATGTGCCCTGGGGGACGTTGCACGTCAAAACATAGAGGAAGCTACAGAGATGGCTTTCTGCATTTTGCGTAATTCCACAGCTACGCCACATTGTGTGCATCGGCCGTCAGGAGGTGGTCAGAGCAGTTCTTGACCTATGCAGAGGTGCAGACATGGCGCATGGCATGGCCAAGGCTCCAGATAGAGTTGCCGGCAAATTCTGCGTCAGGAGATGTCCGCACGCAGCACATGTATTGCCGGCCAATTGCGGGGGTGGTGGCTCTGGCCTGCCGAGAAGCGACACAACCGGCAACGGTTTAGACTGGCCGGGTCTCAGGGCACTGTTGGCAGGTTGATGCCAGCTTTGTGCTCACTCCGGCTCACGGTGGCAAGCAGCTACATGCATTGCTTGGAGTTGCAGAGGCACGCGCTGACTGATGCATGAGTTGGCCAATGCTATGCTCTTGCGGCATGTGGCATGTACGAGCTTGCTCGGCAGGGCATCTGCGGTGCTGTCAGAGCTGGAGGGGTCTTTGCAAAGTGCTGGAGAGTTTGGCGGCCTGGACATGCTGAGCCCCGGCCTTTGTCCTTGCAGTGCAGGCTGGTCCGCTTATGTGGTAGTGGCATGAGGCCAAAGGATCGCCTCGAGAGCTACACTGCTGCGCAGCCGAGCAGCCTGGCTTTCGGGCGGTGCCGCCTCTGCAGAGGCAGCTGCCATGGCCTGAAAGATTTACGGATTATGTGAGGGAACGTGACAGGACTGCAGAAGGACATGTTCCACGATCAAATCCCGATTGTGCATGACAGTTGCATCACGCAGCGCTGGATTTGCAAATGCAGTGCGCGAGTATATATGTGCAGCCGAGCCAACTGCCGAACCCGGCCATCATGCGGCCGAATCCATTAATCTTTATATCTGACAGCTTCGTCATCTAGTGCAAGGCCACAACCTTTTGTGTCATCACTGTGGGCAACTTTGTAGACAGGAATTGAGAGACAAACTAATGCCCGGTAACACGGAAACAAGCTCCTCCACTTTGCACTGGCTAGCCATGGCAGCAACAGGGCACGAACTGATGCGACGCCAGGCTCACAAGTGCCGGAGTGCGCCGGACAAAGTGACAGACATTCTTCATCCTCTTTCCAGCTTGTTTTGGGAGGAAAGCCTTATCGAGCCGGTTCCGAACCCTTTTTCCAATCCGGCACCCTTCACGCGTTATGAGCCACTTGGCTTGACACTGCCCGGATCGAGTGGCAATATGCTGGGCATGCTTGCTCAGGATTCTGAAAGCCTGCCTGGTAGGCCGTCTGGCCACATCAGCCCGTAGAACAGGGAGTTTCTCTTGAAGATGGCTGACCATGGTGAACTAATAGCAGGCAGCAGGTTCCATGCCTTCTTGAACTAGGCATCCTGCTCCTCCCCATGCGGATCGGGACGATCATTGCTGTCGGTGTGACGGAAGTGCCCTGCAGCGCGAAGTTGATGACGAGCAATCTACTGACTCAGGGGCCAGCCAGGAATCTTATCGGCCCTTTGTCAGGTGCTTCTGGTTCGGCTTGCTACGCTTGGCCGGGACCCTCAGCGTTCTCATAAGCGGCATCTCAAAGACAGTTTTTTGAGTAGTTCATAACATCTGCTCCCAGTAGGTACAGAGTTGAAGGAAGAGCGAGGCTGCTGGCAGCACACCGTCGCCCAAATGCAGTTTCAGAGCAGTAGCACCTGGTGTTAGAGGGGGCTGAAGAACTAGGATTGCTTTCTCGAAAGTCTCCTTTCGCCTCGCTTGTGATTGCCTCGTTCAGGTACAGTTCGAATGGTGGCGGCTTCGACTGCTTGTGACATGGTTGCATGTCGATGCCAATCTGTGTGCTCGTATCTTCAAATTCCATTGATGCTGGATGATTGCTTGTTGTCAGGCCCCTCTGAAATATTTGAATCGTTTGGCACTGGTCGCCTTTGGCTTCTGGCCGGGTTGCATCAAGGTCAAGGATTTGCGCAAGGCTTGGAAGCGGTCTCTGTTTCTGGAGTTTTCTGGCAGCATACCACTGGTAGCATGGTCTGCGCGAGACGCGTCAGCTCACGATGGTGGCAAAGTTTCTTGCAGGGCCGGTCCAGCCCCGCCAAAATTCTGGCGGTAGCGCTCGAGCCTTATCTTCACGGCCCGAGACGGGCCAAATGTCTGAGCTATTTATTACTGACTTCCTTTCGAATCCTGGGCATGCAAACTTCCAGCCGCCTGTAGACTTGCGGCTCAAGCCACACAAGTGCAACCCTGTCAAAATTATAGTTCTTGCAAGGTCGAATACAAAAGCTTAACACAAACTATTAAGCGATCCTTATGCTGGATGCTATTGACAGATATTCTGTCATATCAAGTTATCGTAAGTTACATGGCTTAGTTTATGGTTTCATTCCACGAAAAAAGGCATGTGATGCCATGTGTTGGCTCATATTCATTGTAGAACAAAGCGGAGCGCGCAAGTAGCTAAACAAAGATTTTACATGCTACAACGCGTGAACTCTCGAAGGGGCCGGGTGAAGAAGCAACATAAAGCAGGACGTGACAGGCATTCAGTCGCAAGCCTGTGCAACAATTGAAAAGTTGAGCACTGGGCCAGCAGCAAGCATGCATGTCCGACCCTGGGGTAGCGGCCTCAGCTTTCTGAACAGACGTGCACCTCGTGCCGCAATTGGGCAGCAAGGATTGGCGGCCTTCAACTTTTCGTCCCTCCTGGTATCCGGCTGAACCGACATGGTCGGCTTCCTCGCGTCCTCAGGCTGAGCCTCTGTGGCACCGGCGCACTACAGTTCCTGCCCGACCGGCGTATCCGGCGTATCCGATCCGGCCGTTCCCTCGGCAACCTCGACCGCGAGCGCCACCTCCCAACCTGCCACGGCATGGGCTCTGGCCGCTGCCAGAAGCTCGACCTGTCGGAGGCCAGGAGTGCAAAGCCGTTGCTCCCATCCGCTCCCCAGAAACCACCCTGGCGCTTCGGCTGGACGAGGTTCGGAGCCCAGCCTCTTGCGCTTTACCAGGGCTTCGGTTACTCCTCGCGCTGTGCATGTATGTGCCAAGTTGTTCAAGTTAAAGCACGAGCAGGTTTGGAAAAGCTTAAGAGACGAATCGTAGGGGCTACCAAGTACCAGTGCCTGGTGCCTACTGCGCGGCATGGCCTCTGCTTCTCACTGGTTGTTCGAGGCGCCGCCGCCGATATTCGCCTCAGCGGATGCAGCCCCCAGTGTCAGTTCTGTGCCAGCGGATGCTCTCGGCATGCAGGCTCGACGATGCCTTGTCGAATTGCAGTACAGGGTCTTGTTGTTGTTGTGCGTTGCTGCCACTGAAGATGATCTTCCTTGCGCGACTCGCGCTGTGCATAGGGTAGTCCAAGTGCCTAGTGAATACTGCGCGGCATGGCCTCTGCTTTTCACTGGTTGTTCGAGGCGCCGCCGC